CCAAGCACGCCGTGTCCGAGGGTACCAAGGCAGTCACCAAGTACACCAGCTCCAAGTGAGTGCGCGCAGCGCTCTGACCCCAAAGGCTCTTTTCAGAGCCGCCCACATCTCACAGAAAGAGCTGACTCCCTGGTAAAAGTTTAGTTCTTCATCGGACTGCTTTCATAAGCATAAACTTGGTGCTTTAGGTATTTGGGTCCTACATGCTATGCAGGCTGTTACCATTGAGTCTTACCTGGTTATGGTCCATGATTGGTGAGAATGTTTAACGGAATTAACAGCCCGAATTAGAGCCCCACTTAAGGTGCAAGGCTGTTTTAAATCTATTAGTTCGGAAGTCACAATAGGTTCCCGTTCTTGAGGTTATGAGACCTGTGCCTGAATTTACGTGGTCAGAGCCAGCATGTGGTCAGGATCCAGAAGTTTTGGGTACTGGTCTTAGAAGGCTTGGTGATGTCAGGAGGTAAGTTGTGTAATCGTTGAGGAAATAACTTGCTTACCACACTGATGCCACTGGAAAATCAAAGTCTCTCTTTGGCAGTCTGGTGTGTCCAGCAATATTTGCTCGTACTTTTCTACTGTGGACGCAAAAGCATAACTCGCCTCAAAGGGGATGAGTTTGTTCTGGAGCCAAATATGAGTGTCCGTGGCCTGGGATAAATGGTAATTAGACTCTGGACCTGCAACATTCCAAACTCTCCAGTCTCTAGAGTGATAATCAGTTGGTCAGCCTTGAAGGAGGTTCAGTCCAAAGTGCAGGAGTCCTTCTGGAAACTTTTCTTTCATACTATACAGCCATCACTCATTCATGAAGGACCAGGAAGGAAGATCACATGTTTTAAAGTGTGGGGTCCTAAGGAAGAGTTCAGAAATTGGAAAGGTAAGAGCTGGCTATAATACAGTGAGTGGATTTTCCTCCAGCTGGCGAGTCCTTCCCCGTTCTCTTCCTCTGAATTGGACATAGGCCAGTGCTGAATCTGAGGCTTGTTCTATGATTTAAGGAAAATGTGTTGTTCATTTTAAACACACATACATGTTCACACTAAGTTTAGATGATTTCTGGAGCATTCCTTTAAAACAAAGACTGCATTGCTCAGCTACCACAGCTCAGCCATGCCTACTTCCAGGATACAGTTCTACTCTTTGTAGCACTCTAACCAGACAGCTTTGGGACTCCTGTATGGTTTGGTCCAGAGGGCAGAATTTTATCTCCTCTACTTTGTTCCTGATCATTCTCTCAGTCAACAAAGGCATATGAAGCCTCCACCACCCCCTCCTCTTCCTTCTTATCCTCTTTCCTTTCTCTTCCTCTTCTTCTCCTCCTTCTTCTTTTTGTGACACTTTGCCTGGCTGTAGAACATGGAGTATGGCTCCAATATCAGAGTCACAGATCTTCCCTGAAGCACCAGTTAATTCATCCATCTGTGTTGGTAGCTGAGGCTTTTGACTTAGTTCAAGAGGATCATCCATCAAGGCAAGGAAGGCTTGGTGGCAGGGCAAGAGGATGATTGGTCTCATTGCATCTCAAATAAGGTTTCACAACTTTTCCAAACAGTGCCACCAGTGGAGAATCAAATATTCAAACACACACGTTTATGACAGGGACATTTCACATTTAAACCACAGTATTTCACTTCTGACTCCCATAGGCTGATGGCCATGTGCAGATGCAGAATGCAGTCATCCAACCACCAAAGTCCTCATCATCTTCAACAGTCCCAACATTTGGTCATTGTCGGTTCTCTGGTGTTGTTGGCTTTTATCTATGAGAACCTCTTTAAGTATATTTTGATTGAATCTTTTAAATTGGGCAGTTTGTTTGCTCAAATGTTATTATAATTTATTTTTAGCTACTCCAAGAAATTCTGGCTTTAACTCATTTTGCACAATTGGCTTTATTGTTCAGTATGTGAAATCAAATATTAATTTGCCCAAGAAACTTATGAGAGGATAGACACTGTAAAACTTCTCATAACAGATGGCAAATTCATTTATTAATATTATTTATATCTCATGGATTAAGATCATTAATAATCTTAAAATTTCTTGTCAAAGTTCAAACAAACCTCTATCTAAATCAACTTAGTTATTGATCTAATCTTGCTAAATATTGCAAGGGTTGGCTTAAAAAATAAAATATAAGTCTAACCAAGGATTATTTAAGAGCCTTAAGTTTTGGCTAAATATTACACAATTCTTAAAAAATACCAGACTATCGCCTGACGTGGTGGCGCATGCCTTTAATTCCAGCACTTGGGAGGCAGAGGGAAGTGGGTGTCTGTGAGTTCAAGGCCAGCCTGGTCTACATAGTGAGTTCCAGGACAGCTGGGGCTACAGGGGGAGACCCTGTCTCAAAAAGACCAAAAAAAACAAAAAAAAACCTCAGACTATTATAACCAACTTTTAAAAATGTTTAATGACCATACCTACAGTTCACTCTCCTGCCATGGGAAAGATGGCCTTTTTAAGGATTTGTTATTTCAGGCTGGAGAGATGGCTCAAGGGTTAAGAACGCTGGCTGTTCTTGCAGAAGACCTGGGTTTGAATCCCACATGGCAGCTAACAACTGTCTGAAACTCTAGTTCCAGGGGATCCGACAGCTTCTTCTGTCCTCTGAGGGCATTGCACGACATGGGTGCACTTACATACATGCATACACATAAAATAAAAATAATGAATAAAAAGTTTAAAGGTTTGCCATTCCAATGCTTGTTTTCAATGAGTAGGCATTTATGCCTAATTTTTAAATGGAACATTTTCATTGAATTTGTGAACAATAGCTGCACCTTTTGCCAATATGGGTGAGCTCGATAGCCTTAGTTGTCAACTTGACACACCTGGGTAGAGGGAGCCTCAATTGGGGAACTCCCTCTATTGGACTGGCCTGTGGCCATCTATCTGTGGGTCATCTTTTTGATTATTGCATGATGTGAGAGGGCTCAGCCCACTGTGGGTGGTGTCACCCCTCAGCAGGTGGGCCAATGTTGTATAAGAAAGTGGGTTGATCAAGGGCTAAAGGAGCAAGCCAGTAAGCAGCATTCCTCCATGGCCTGTGCTTCAGCTCCAGCCACCAGGTTCCTGCCCCGAGTTCATACCTTGCACTCCCTGATGACCCATGACCCGGGAGATGTAAGTCAAACAAACTCTTTCCTCCCCAAGTTGATACTGGTCAGAGTGTTTTGTCACAGCAATGGAGAAACAAACTAGAACACTGGTAAATAATGCAATACACCTTATTTTTTTCCTAATACTTATACATTTCATTATATGGATCTCTTATTAGCCTTCACTAAAGATATAAATCTAATTGTTTTGAAAGATTACAAGCTTCATGAAAAAAATCTTTATTTGTAGCTAGTACTAGATGAAATTTGACTAAATAATAAACTATTTTGGATATATTGTTACTAATTTCTTTAGTCTATTAATAATTTCATTCTATTATCAATCTGCAATCCAACAATCTAAAAACAGTAATTGGGGGAAAAAAAAAAAAGCTATCACTCAGGGATTGTGGGGCATGAAATTCAGCTAAGTTAAAAAAAAAAAACAAAAAAAACCCAAAGCCAAACCAAAAAAACCACCCCCTCAAAACCAACCCCAATAAAAAACCCCAACTGAACCAAACCACAAGCTCTTGCTATAAAATGAATGGACTACCAGCACAGGCATTTGGGGATAGAGGTGCACGCCCAAGTTCCAGCCCAGCTAGAGCTATACTGAGACCCTGTTTCAGAAAAAAAAAAAAAAAAAAAAAAAAAAAAAAAAAAAAAAAAAAAAAAAGAAAGAAAGAAAGAAAGAAAGAAAGAAAGAAAGAAAGAAAGAAAGAAAGAAAGAAAAAGGAAACGAGCACACAGTAGGCAATGCCAGATCCTGGATCTCTGGAGGATCTGAAAACTCAAGGTCATGCTCTGCTACATATTAAGTTTGATGGCTAGCCTGGGTTCAGTTGACCTCCTGGGGTGGGATGGGAGGGAGCCCAAATCAAGGAAAATTGCGACTGCCCACCTGCAGTTAAGTGGGGGTCGGTGCAGACAGACGTAGAAATCACCAAACTGGGGGCAGTGCTGGGCTAGGATCCATACCTGAGGAGTGTAGGGGAGGAACTCTCTAGATTCAGAACCCCGGGTCCTGGTAGTCTGCTATAGCGTCTCCATGCCGTCTTCATTTTGGTCCTCATCTCCATCTCGATCCTCATCCCCATCTTCTTGGTCACCTTGGTCTCTGGGTGTGGAATCAGAGACCAAGAGTCTCTGGAAGGCCTCTAGTGTGGTGGATCCCGGGGAGGGCAGGGACTCCAGCTCCACACCGCGGTCCCTGTCTGTTCTGGCCCTCCGGGTTACAGACATTGGAACTGTGCTCACTGAGTTGAACCTGACTTGGCGGCCTTCAGAGTTGCAGTAGTGGTGTTTTGGTATTGACAGAACAGGAGGGCGATCCGGGTAGGGAGGTACCT